TGTCCTGTGTAAAGCACTGCTGTGTCGACGCGTTTCCGGGGCACGCCCCCTTCATCAGGACGTAATGCCAGTCTCCTCCCTGCTGTAGCTTAAGAATGGGCGGCTCGGACGTGATAGGGTCAAGTAATAGAGGCTGATTGGACGGCGGCTGGGGATGGATGGTATCAAAGACGGCAGGCAATTTTTTGAGCTCTGCTCAAAGAATAATAAGAAAAAGAGTAGACCAACAAATTTGAGTCTAAAATAAAAGGCTGCAAAAAAAAAAAAATCTTTGCAATAACCAAAATTTAGTTATCAGACAAGCAGATAAGGGAGGTGGTTTGGTAATTCTCAACAAAGAGGATTACATCATTGAAGCAGTTAGACTGCTGTCGGATACTTCCACCTATACCACATTGAAAGAGAACCCCACCATACAGCAGGGAGGAGACTGGCATTACGTCCTGATGAAGGGGGCGTGCCCCGGAAACGCGTCGACACAGCAGTGCTTTACACAGGACACGCTATCCGGATCTTTTTATTGCTCCGGTCATATTGTCCTACGGCTTGTTTTTATCTTCAACATAGTGAGTACCTGTCAATTCACCTTTATGCCTGTCTTTTTGGATTAAACAATATTGCACCAGGAAAGGCGCCTCTTCTTTTGTGTTTTTTAGAGTAGAAATCTTGGCAAATGTTTTACTGCCATTTGTGCCCCCATTGGCAAGCTTTCCCACCGGACAGGAAGTTAGGGGAAATCTTCTCAATAGGGACATAATAAAAACAACAAAAAAGTAGAAAAAAAGTCAGAGGTTCTGACCTTTCCCCACTCTCTGTAAAATATATATATTTTTTCTAGTTTACAATTTTCACAGAAGCCAGGAAATGAAATCACTTGTTGGATGGGTTGTTAATAATAATTGGCTACAAATAATGGTAAAAAGAACCCGCTCTACTTATAAACTTTCGGAAGGCCATCCTCTGCTGTTTGTCCCAGGCCAGGAGATCTGGCACCCTTTCCAACCCTCTGCAGTAGATACTATTTTACTACATCCTGTACATCTCATGGTCAGCCCCACGGTCATCTGGAGCAATGCTGTCCAAGTAGTTGCATAACGTGGGCAGTGTCTCTACTATCATAAAGTTCGCAGGCTGGATGTGACTCAGAAAGGTGATGTCACCAATACAGCCTTTTAGGAAAACTGGAAGAACATATTAATTTTAAAAAAAATCCTTCTTGCTGGACAAGCCTGTGGCACCAGAACAGTATGCATTGGGTTTGTGGACTCTCATACCACACATACGAGTCACTTTGGCTCTGTGAACAAGAAACACGATTAAACAATCAATATGGCTTCCATAACAATACTATTTATTTCTCTCCGAAAGAGGTTCATATCAGCCACTGGAAACATATGTAGGGAACACGTGCTGTACCAGAATGTAACGTGTAACTATCTCCCTCTGATCCCCTGTGACACAGGCGCCATGCTGACCCCGGGCTCGCAACAGGCACAGCGGAGCCCGGGATCAGCGGGACAACGGCGGGG